TAAGACTAATCTTCTGATATACATCTTATTCTGAACGGCCACGGCCACTAAGTATCCTTCCCTTGTAAGAGTACCCCAGTACCTCAAACTTCCAGATTAAATGACAAGCCCTGTACTTCAGAAGTAGAAAATAAAGCTTCGAAATCTGGGCCGTAGTACTGATCTGTAGTGATTTTGCTCGAGTTTCCCATTCTCAATTAAAAATTCGTAACAACACGATAGACTTGATCATAAGAGTTTTTCGAAGAGTCTAGATGATAGGCTTGAAATACCAGAGATGCAAAGAGGAAAGGCATAAAACTAGAATTTCAACTTTGGTCAGAGCTTTGCTATACCTTCACCTTTTCCCCAAAGACTGCATTAGTTGAAGAAAACCGGAGTTTCATTATATGTAGTCCTGAATCAAAGTCAAGTGCTTTAGTGCAATTATGATTAGGGTCGCCACTATCATATCAATATAATTCAGCAGATTAGTAATTTTCGCCGTTACTCAAATGACGTGCAGTTTTGTCTTTAGAATAGTTAACGCTACGCAACTCTTCCCTCCAACGGCTATTCCGCTATTCCACGCATCAGTTTTATTTAGATGATAGAAAACAGCAAACCTTTTTTAGCAACCATAAATCGCCGCTTGATGAACATATCAAGTCCATTATCGCCCGGAACTTTAATCTCTTCGACGGTTTTGATTACATATTCGCGAAGATTCAGTTCTTCGCGAAGCGCTGGCCAGTACACATGACATTTGCTCTAAAACCAATAGATCATACAGCAAACAATTGAAATTATGAAACCTGGAAATACTTGATCTAAATACCCTTGAACGTTCCATTTCCTTAGTTGTCATGACAATCACGCGAGTGTTTTCCTGCCAAACCATTCGCCAGAAATCAAGAAGAGTGTTGGGTAGACAGCCTTGTGTGGAGATGTATTCACGATCAGCATAAAGATGCAGTGGCGGACCTTGCGGAATCTTTAAAAAATCAACAGTATAACTTAAGCACATTTTAACGGTCAAATGAGGCTTATCATTTCTCAGGATAAACAGAGTCGTTAGAAAAAAGAGGAAATCTGTTAGTTATTGAAATGAAGATTAGAATGTCCATTTTTTTTTTGAATGACATGACGCCGAACAGAAAGCCGTAAACCACGGGAAAGGATGAAGTTTGGTCACAAGCTTCTCGATGCGTACAGCTTTTAGCAGTCAAAGAAACTCAAAACCCAACACAATAACTCAATCGGTCGTAAGCATAGGTTAGATACATAGAGCCACGGCTCTGGTCACCTTCCTAATGAGCGAAGAAGGAGTAGGACCCTCGCCAAAGGAA